TGATTTGGAAACAAGATGCAGAGTTGGCAACTGGCATACACTTAGAAAGCTCTGCAAGAGTCTTGGATAAGACATGAGCTCCGCAGCACAGAGACCCAAGCCCTGGTGGCCCATCCCTGGGGAAGGAGCGCAAGCTACCTGGACTGCAGGCCTGGCCTGAGCCCTGCCTTTGCCGGGCCTTGCCGCAACTTACCAAACCCCTCTGCACTCCTGCCCTTAGCTGTAGAATGGGCTGATGATGGTAGACCCACATGAAGGGTAAATGTCACCAACAATATCCAAAGGGCTTAGAAGAATATGTCTTAGTATTTGTTACCTAGTGCTTGGTCAGAACATCAAACAAACATGTTTCTAGTGTTATACCAAGACCAGAAATGGAATTGGGAGCTAGTAGGGCAGATTTTTTTTTAATTGGCGGCCAAAACAGCCTTTCTTTGGTATCATCCTCCCCCTCAATTCCCAGCGCTGCTTTCTGCCTGTGATTGATGGCTCCAGAGTTCTCTTACTCGTTCTCAGCCCCCATTAGAGCAGCAGTTATTTTGCTGAAGTTAAGTCACCAACTAAAGCAGAGGTTGGCAACTCGGGTAATGGACTTTGTGCTCACCCCACCCCCAGGAGACATTTAGGAAAGTGTAGAGACAATTACATTGTTATACCTGGGGCCGGGGGAGCAGAGAGGAAATTTTCTTTACCCCTTTGGATACTTCTCAGTGGGTGGTGAAAACAAATTCACATCTGACAGATCACTAGGAGAAAAGAATTAACTTATTTATTTTTATAACTTGAGGGGAGTTTTTTTCTATTTTGTGTTTATAGTATTTTTTATTAAGATAACATTGGTCTACAGCTCTGTATGACTCAGAAACACCGGAATCCCACCTCTTCAGGTATAAAAGCACAAATTTAATCCCATACTTACTGAGAATCTGCATGGCTGTAAATTCCAGAGTAAACAGAACAAACCAAGGGTTTTTATCCTGAGTAAAAGGATGAGGCAGAGGCCTGGGACTGCAAGAAGAGCAGACTCGTGTGACAAAAATCACACTAACTAGATGTTTGCTACATTATAAATTTCTCTGATTAAGAGGTAATCTGAAGATAATTTTTAAACTGGGTACCATTCCCAGTCTCCATTCTTCTACACAATGAAAGGAGTGGTGATAGTCTATCTTGAAACCCACAGGGCACCTACTGACCTCTGACCTTAGCTCAAAATAATCCCTCTGCCAACCTGACATGTCTTGGAAGGCTTGGGAAAGCCCTTGAGCTTCCTGGGAAGGCCAAGTCCTTCAGGCACAAGGGATTTGGAGAAGGGGAACCAAGAGTAGACAACGCCTTGTTCTCGCAGCAGTACTGGGCTGATTCTTTCAGCCAGCGCTACCAAATCCAGGCTTTTCCTGCCACACAGGGTCTAAATATGCAACTCTGATGTCCTTGGGCTCTTCATTTACCTAAAAGTTGAGTTTCCCGTTCTTTCCATCCAAGAAATTAAGGAATGATTTCTTGAAAGAACTGCTATTGAATAGTCAAAATTTTAAGAAATCTTATTAGAAGGTAATGTTTGCCTTTTCCCCCTTAGCAAATATATTACCTTTTTCTTTCCATAAGGTGTTCTTCTGATTAAGTTTCTTTGTAAGTAAGCCTCAGGCCCCCAGCCTGAGAGCTCTGTAGCAAAGCAAAATTTTGGTAAGGTAATGAAGACTTTCAGGTAAAATATATATATATATATATATATATATATATGTATATCTATATATCTATCTATATATATATATATATACACATATACATATATGTGTATATATATGTGTGTGTGTATATATATAAAAAGAAATGAAAAGTGTGAGAAGCAACATTATATATAAAATGGTAAGTTCAGTAAGCAAGAAGGCAGAATGCTGAGAGCTAATGTAAAACTGTGTCAGGCACTGCCTACACCAGAATCACCTCGCTAGCAAACTTCGTTAAGTGTGAATGTGCAGCCTGAGCAACACATGTGAACAGAGAAAAGTCAGCTTTTCCATAACAATGCCAACCATGTGTGTTAAGAGACTAAAAGGCCTCAAGTGAAAAAGCCCCCTTTGAGGCCAAACCACCAACCAAATTCCATGAATATGAAATTCTGAAAACAGCTGAAAACCAAATTTATTTTGCTGTTAGCTATTTATGATGCTTCCCTTTCTGGTGTATCACATGCTTGAAATCCTGTACACTGGCAGTAACTCTCAGACAAGTCTCTACACTCTCCATCAACTAGGAATCCAAACCTGTTGACAGGTATTAAGGGAACTTAAAAATGATAGTCTTATCCATTGTTAAAAAGTTCATTAATTTAGGAAAACATGTATTTTAGTCACTTTTTAAAAACTTGCAATTTGCTTTAGAAAGCCTTTCTCTTCATTTTACAACTAAAACTCCACCAACCAAATGTAAATTGAAATTACTCAAAAGAATTACAGGTATCAGGCATTTTTTATATTGATATGAAATCTCATATAAATGTTGACATCCTTCTTCGAACAGAACAATTTACTACCATATCTTCAAGTGATTCAAAATGCTACTTAAAATTTTTTCAGAACAATTTCTTGGGTAAATATACTTGTATATTTATTAAAGCCAAATATACGTGTATCATAATTCTATCTTTAAAAATCAAGGTGTAGCTGCATAATGATTATACTATACTTAACCAAACATTGGGGAATAGAGCTTTTTCAATGTTAGTATTTGGTAAGGAGGCAATTGGATTCCATCTATGAAAGTAAAAGAATTACATCAGCAATTTCAGCAGAAGCAGGAGTGGAGGGGAGGCCAGTCACTTTTTTTTTTTTTAAGACTTATTTATGTGTACAGATCTGGGGTACAGGCCAGAGATGCAGGGACGGTGAGAGGATTCACCAGAGACAGAGTGGGAAGTAGAACAGGCACATCAATAAAGTATACTGCTGAGGGGAGCAGCAGGTGGGCCAGGAGAAGTCTGCTGTGCCATGTGGGTCACCTCCCGGGCAGTTGGGGATGGAACTCATGCTGGAGTGGCTTTAGCTTCTTAGGCTGTGCTTTAACCCGCTGTGCCACCAGGGAGGGCCCACCAGTCTGCTTTTTAACCTTCCTCTAGTCAAGTATCCAAAGACCTCTCTGGGAGCTCACCTTCCATTGTCACTGACTTACTTTAAACAACTTGACCAGTTATAGAACTGCTGTGGTCACTACTAACAGTAATTGTAGTCACAGGTAATAATCACCATACTAAGGAACATCCACAAGCACTTCCTTTGTTTTTCAGACAGAATCATTCTGCAAAGTTGGACATTTGTTTCTGCAACCCCTGAAGACTGCTACCAGATACATTTTCTAAGATAACTGGGGGCAGGAGTTGCCCCAATTGACCAGAAATTTATGGACTTGCAATCCAACAGAATTCCCAGCTATCAAAAAATATATATATATATAGAGAGAGAGAGAGAGCGCATCCCTGTGACACCTTTATAAAACGAAATGGCATAAAGCAAAGAAATAATTACCACTAGTTGAAATGGTAATTTTTTTGAGGATTTCAAGACTCCCAAATAACCTAACAAATCTTACCAAGTAAAACTTCAAACCTAAAATAACAACTAAGATATAGTAAAAGCAGGAATATCATAATCACATGGCCTGTACCAAGTAGTTCCCATGAAGGAGGCTGGAGATGACACTTGGCTTCTGGGGAACACCGGACATCTAAAATGGCAGCTGCCAGACGAGTTCAGAATGCTGTTTCCAGTGTTTGCTTTTCTTCATAAAAGGGAACTACTTTTTCAGACTACTGTACTGTACTGAAGCAAACTACTTTTGCTTCAGTTAGCAAAAAGATATTAATGTAGATCTTAAAAAAAAAAAAAGTGGCCTAATGAGAACTTTCAGGAAAGTGGGACTACATGTTCTTGAATATCTTGCACTCAAACATTTTAAATAGTAAACAAATTCACAGTTTTATAGTCACTTCCTCTAGTTTTGCCTTTGGTCAGAGGGTACTATGTCATTCTGCAGAACTTCAGACAATGGAGCTAAAGTGTATGGCAGAGAGGGTGGTACAGGAAGAGGGGAATGTCGCTATTATATGTTGTTATTGCTTAATTTCATTTTCTATCTTTAAGAATAGGAAAAGACTAACTCATTGTGGCTTAAAACTAAAAAAACAAGTTCAACACAATGAATCTATAAAATATATGAAATACATTATGAACTGGAATGTAAGGCAATATTGTAACAAAAATGTATTACTTAAAAATATAAACAAATCGTTTAGTAGTTCCCCCTTATTAGCCTTAAGCTTTCTGCAGTTTTAATCAAGGTGAACCAGTTTTTAACACACAGATTACCTGAAAAAGTAGTCAATTACTTATTAAATATGCTCTTCACCATTAAGAATTTCTATTGTGTCCCTTGACCCAACAACTGCGTAAACCTATCATTAAGAATTTCTATTGTGTCCCTTGACCCTACAACTGCGTAAATCTACTCCTCCAAAGTAATGATACTGAGTCATATTTATAAAGGGTGTTTTCCTTTTTATTTTTCCAGGAAGAGCAAAGTGTTATGATAAGTTACCATGAAAACTCTTGCACGTTTTCAAGAGTCTGTTATTAGAGAAAAAATGTGTTTTGCCATTAAATTAGCCATCAGGGAACCACACCCAAATAATGTTCAAGTCACTGGAGCATTATGAATTTGTCTCTTGACTCCTGACACCCATAAGCGACCACCTGTTCCTTCCCACCTCAGTTGTAACAGGTTTCCATGGTTATTATAAAAACTGTCTTCTTACAAAGGTTAAACATTAGATAGAGTTCCCTTCAACTTCTCTACACAAAGAGTGCAGACTGTTGACTGAATCACCCATGGTTAATCTTTAACATAATGTTTCCTTACCAGTTAAATGTGTATTATGTCTAAAATATACACACTATGTTTATTAGTATAAAACTTTATTATGTGCATCTGCAATTCAGGATGTCCTAGATAAAGCAATACAAACAATGTCCTGATTGGAAGTTTTCCAATATTCACTACGTTCTTTGATTTTTCAGAATGCCTGGATTCACTACAATAGTATTTTTCAAAGGTGACTATATATTTTATATAGTACACAAAGTTTAGAAATAATTACAGTCACAGAAAAGGTCACTTTTTATGGAAAAGTTTTTACTTTATTTTATAAAAAGTAGTGTGTTGAGCATATTTACTTTACTCTTTCAAAGCAATGCAAGTACAATGATGAGCATTGAGTAAAAAGTACCCTGCTTTATGAACTTACTTTTAACACACTGAAGGCATACTGCTCACTGATGGTAGAGATTATGTGGCCCAATTATAAAACATAACATGTGAGAGTAAACACACACAACTGAGTAGTTGTGGAAAAATAGAGGATTAATCAAAATATTCTGTTTAAAAATATTAAATTCAAGTTACATGGAAATTTTATGCATAAAAAATCAGGTTATATAACCAGAATGACTCTTCAGTGGTCATTTCTGAAAACAAATATTAACTTTAGTCAAAAAGCTAAAACTTGTAACTTCTCTTTTTTTTCAAAATTGCAATACTCAAAGTAAAAGACTTAAAGAAATCACTCCAAAGACATGTTATATAATTCCTATGCCAAGAAATCTCCCTGTGATGCACAAAGAAACCTGCTAATGGAAGAGTAAGAGAAGTCAGTGTAGGACCTAAGTATTTCAGTTACGTGAGAACGTGCTAAATGACTGACTTTTCCCCCCTTCCCACCATTTCTTTTCACGTGGCCTTTGGAAACTGAAAGTAACTTTCAGAGATTCGCCTTGATGTGCACTTTCTCACACACCTCTCATGGCTGTGACACAGCTCCGGAAAGCACTAAGAGCACCCTTGTTTGACCACGCAGATATCTCCAAGCCCAAACCTCACTCCTATGCCTGGGCGCAGGAGATATTACAAAAGTGCGTAGAGCCTATCAATTCTTTCAGCAACAAAGTGGACTTCTCTAGATGGACGATTCTGCTCTACTGTTTGGTTGCAGTAACACCAATGACCCACTTAAAAAAACTCAAAACCTGAAATTCAAACTATCCATAGACAAATAATCACTTACAAGTAGGGAAAATGAGAAGCGAATAGAGTCCCAACCACTTTAAAGTCTCCCTCCTCCCTTACTTACTACATCACGCCATTTATTTTTCCCATAATTATCCTACTTAGAAACATAAGTGTTCACCTCTAGTGCAGCAATGCATTAGTGCTGCCTAATGCATGAGGCCATGTGGAGGCACTGGGAGGCACATTCAAGTCTGGAGTCCTGTGACTGTCAATCAGCCTGGCCCTGCCCATTTTCAGTCCGGTTCAAGGCACCGGGGGCGGCGGCATCGAGGGGTGACTCTGGGGCACCTGTGGAACTGGTGGCTGTGCAGGCAGGAGGGGAAGGCCCAGTGGCGCACAGCGGAGTTCGTTTCAGTTTTATCACTCGGTGGGGGGTGGCCTTCTTCTCAGAGAGCAGAACCTTAGCTGGAGGTGGGTGTGCAGCTCCGTTTTCAGCACTGCCAGGCCCAGGTGTCCCCAGGCCCGCAACAGACTGGGCCTTCAGAGCTCCCCTGGCACCTGGAGATGGGTTTGCTGCCCGGGAACTGGTCTGGAGGGCACTGACTGGAGAAACCTTGACTGAAGCTGAGTTCTTGACTTTAATTTGGGTGCTGGTGGAAGGTCCCAAAAACCTGACTGGCTTAGGACCAGTCTTAGAGTTCATACTTTCTTCTTCCTCTTCATTGAAGGCTATCAGTCGCCTGTAAACACAAAAGCATATCACAGTCAGCATTTACAGGTTCAGTAACTAAATGAAAACTGACCAAAGTTTACAATCAGGGTTGACTAAAAGGTCTTGTTAAAAAGGGAGTACTTAGCAGGACAGGGCCATTCAATAAACAAGAAAAATCTCAAATAAACAATCTGCCTTTATACTTGAAGGAAACAGAAAAAGAGTAAACAAACCCAGAAAAGGAGAAGGGAGAAAATAATAAAAAGGAGTAGAAAATAAATGAAATAGAAAACAAAGAGACAGCTCAAAAGGTCAATGAAATCAAGAGTTGGTTCTTTGAAAGGATAAACAAGATTAAGGACCCTTTAACTACGCTCACTAAGAAACATGAGAAAATCCAAATAAAAAGAAAATCGTGAATTCTGATGCTTGAAAACAGGAACATAATAATAGCATTATTTGAAAATAGTTACATGTAGTAAAGAGTGCATATCTAATACATTCAACCCTAAAACTACTGAACAAAACTACATTTTCTAAGATTAGTCAGATGATTCATGGGCCTCACAAGTGATCCATGTTAGTGTTCACATCAAAAATGATGGCTAAATGGAAATCCCTGAGGAAAGACAACTAACCGAGTCCCTTAAACCATATCTGCTTGCTTTTTTTTCAGTGCTTAATCTTTTATTAGACTCTAGACCAAGACTTCCTGACACTGGCATGATTGAAATTGGGACTGGATAATTCTTCGTGGGGTTGCTCTGTGTAAGCAAGCATGGCCAGCAGCATCCCTGGCCTCTACACAGTAGTGTCCTCCACCCAGAATGCAACAACCAGAAATGTCCCCAAACACTGTCACTATTCCCTGGGGAAGGAATTATTCTCAGCTGAGAACCACTACCCTAAACCCAAATATATTTGTTAACTCTAGGTTCAAAAGCCAAAATAAATGATGACAATAAAGTAAGAAGAAAAAACTCTGTTTTAATAAGAGAAATTAACTGCTTAATAAATTTCACTGAACTTCTGTGAAAGATTCAGAGGGCAAAAGTAAGAAATTCCACAGGGGCAGTGACGCATATTCTAGAACAGGTGATTAAGAAGACAGAATATCAAAAAGTCACAGATAGCATCCAGAAACTAAAAAAAAATATATGATTTTAAAATGTATTTAAAGCACAGTGAAAGACATAGAGGTAAAGTAGGCTTAATACTAATAATTTAATGGAACACAAGAAAATAATATTAAATAGATATGCTATTTATAGCATGGTGGATTTCAAATATGAAATTTAATTCACTTTTTTACCACATTGCCACAAAAGTCTGGGATTTCACTTTTATAAGAAAAAAAATGCTTATCACAGCGTTACCACTATGTCCAGTGGTATTTAAATCATTCTTCGTCCCCGCCAAAAAAAAAAAAATACTATACACTTAGTTTCAGAGAATTATTTCCACTTTTTACATAGTTTAGGTTAACTCTGCATTTACTGATCGTATTTTGATGTTAAGATAGAATATTCAGCAAGGTGGCTAATAAGTTCTGCCTTCAAAAAGGCAGTAAAAATGTAGGTCGCAGAGTAAAACAACAAATAACCAAGAGAAGACAGATAACCTCTTTCTAATTGGGGCCATATGACGCATGCTTCCAAGCAAAGGCCGCTCCTCCAGAGTCCAGCATTCTATCAGCTCATGAGGTACTCGCCAGTAGCTGACACCTACAAGATAAAAAAATTACAGTTGCACTGTCTTTTGCAAAATGTTCAGCAATATTGTTGCCTACAGACCAGCCAGAAAGAGTCTGAGGTTCATGCCTTCCACGTGACTAAGGGAGATACACCCAAAGCGGGAAATGTTCCCACAAAGCGCCAGGGTAGCAGTGGGACAGCTCAGGACCTGCAGCTACGAAGAGCTGGCTGCAAGCTCTGACCCTGACACTTGTTCACTGAAAAAACTCAGCAGGCCACAGACAGGCCCCGGCAGCTGTGTGAGCAGGTCGAAGACACAGGTGTTACAGCCAAGACTGCCTGGGTATGAATCCCAAGTCTGCTACTCATGGACCACATAATCTTGGGAAAGTATCTGAACTTTTACATCTGTGAAATGGTAACAATAATAGCACATACCTCACAAGATCATTGTGATGACTGAGTAAACAAATGTGAAATGCTGAAAACATTAGGGCATGGCAGAGATTAGCACTTGAGATGTTAGGTACTTTTATTATAAGGGACCGTGTTACAGGAGTATAAGGACCTGCCTGAGATGCTGCCACAATTAAATCAGGAAAATTTTGTGCCCTACTCTGTAAGAAACAGCCACAATATGTATCTGAGATATCACTCGCCTATAAAAATCTTTCCAAACAAGAATAATCTGTATTAACATGGTAAGCCAACATTCCAGCTAGATTCATTTTAATTTTAAAATCTGGTGTATGAACCTTAAAATTACTAAGCAAAGAGAAAAAGAAGCCAGTCACACAGTGTATGATTTCAATAGTCTGAAATATCCAGAACAGGCAAACACATTGAGTTAGAAAGCAGGTTAGTAACTGCCAAGGGCTGAGGGGAGAGGGGGTGGGGGTGGGGGTGCTGCTAAATTGGTGCTGGGCTTCTTCTTGGAATGATGAAAAGACTTTAGAATTAGATAAAGGTGATGATTACCTAACATTGTAATTGTAGTAAAAGTCACTGAAACGTATACCTTAATGCTATGTGACATAATTTTCACTTCAATTTTGAAAACAAGAACCATAAAAAATTACATACAGACACATTAAAAAAGGCTTAAAGAATAATGTTGCAAGAATGGACCTGATGTCTTCTTTTCCATCATTAAAGATCCTGCAATAACAAGTCACTTAGCAAACCAGGCATGGAAATTATTACATATAGTAAATACGTCTAATACTCAAAGAATGCTATGAACCCTGTTTTAAGACAATTACTTTCTAGAACTGCCAGACAATACTCCAAAACCTATTTATGCTATAAAAAGAATCCCAAATCTCAACCACTAAAGTTTTAAAGTCAGATTTACTGAAATATAATTTTATAAAACAAAATTCATCTTTTTAAAGGACACTGCTCAATGAGCAGTGTCAAGTACATAGTCGTGTACCCACAACCACAGTCATAGATAGACTATTTCTATGCCCCATGAAGCTCCTTCATCCCCCTTGGTAGCCTATCCACCACCTTCCATTCCCTAGTTTTGCCTTTTCCAGTGTGGCATATAACCAGGTTATACAGCACGTAGCCATCGGTGTCTGACTTTAGCATGATGCTTTGAAGAGTCAACCTCAAACGTCAATGGCCATTTCCTCTTGCTGCTGAGTCGTGATCCATTATACTGACATACTGCTACTTGTTTAGAAATCTTCCATTTCCCCCTGCCTATTAATTCACATTCAATGTACAAGATTTGGAAACTATAAAAAAGTATATGTAAGATCAGTATCACTTCCAGTCCTAAAACTAGGAATCACAGTTCGTAACTATTAAACATATTAGTGTATTTCGTTCCGTTTTTTTTTCTGCTCATATGATATGCACATAATTAAAAACATTTTATATTTACGATTTGTGATCGCCTCCTATTTTATCATAGACACTCATCTATGCCAAAAGTTATTCAAAATAATTTTAATAGCTATATTATTCCATGGATCTGCCAAAAATATATTTAAACCATTACAGGCATTTAAATTGGTTTAGTTTTTTTTAATCTTTTAAATAATGCTTAATTGAACATTTCATAAGCCATTGTTTGCTTTTGATTATGTCCTTAAGGTAGATACTAGAATTACTGGATTAACAATTTTGACAGTTATTGCTATATAAATTATTTTACAAAAAAGTATATTTATTTTACTCCTGCCAGAAATGTGTGAGTTTTACTAATTTGTTATATAAAAATTTGTTATATAAAAATGTATTATATAATTTAATGTGTTTTCATTAGTAAATAATGAGTTTGCATCTCCTACCACATGTTTCTTTCTTTTCTGGTAATTTTATGGTCATGAATCTGACACATTTATTTATTGTAGGGCTTGAGTTGATTGTCTAATCATTTGAAATAAATCTTCTCTCTAATAAGGATATTCTTTCTCCAGCTAATACAATATTACTTTATTTGTTGTTCTTTATTAAAAGTCTTTTAATTTTTTGTTTCAAAGTCCTTAAGATTTTCAATAATGTGTAATCAAATTTATTAATCTTTGTGATTTATTAAAGTTCTTTATTTCTTTACCTACTAACAAATCAATTACTTGATTGAATTTACTCTTAGTTTACTATAGTGTTGTTTTTCATTCAAAAATCCAGCTGGAATTGCTTTGATGATTGATAGCAGGTTAAAAATCCTGTTTTCCTCCAAGCTTATTTCTCACTCATTAAATAATCTATCCTTTTTTATTGCTATTATATAAAACTTTCTTACTCCATAGTATTTTTATTTGTATAACTTTATGGGATTTCCTCTTATTCTCTGAACCTACTCTTATACCAGAAACCTTGTTTTTTGTCAGTGTCGATCTACCTAGTATGTTTTACCATATAACTGAATTAGACTACATTTGACTGCTACTTCCCCAAGTGTTCTTGGTCATTTTATCTACTTATTCTTTCAAAGGAATTTTAGAATAATTTCAAGATTCCGACAGTTCTATTGTTATTTTGGTAAGGAATGTGTTAAACCTATGATTTAACCTGAAAACGGATGCCTTTAATATTGAGAGTTCCCACTCAGGTTCATGCTATGCCCCACCATATTCTTTATGTCTTCTTCTTCTTCTTTTTAATGGGTAAATACATCCTAGCAGGTTTTTTTCATAAAAGACTCAAGAATATCTTGGTAGGGTAAGTCCTGTTTTCTTTTTATTTTTTGTTTATCATTATTATGGATGGATTTCTGCATATAATTTGTAAACAATGTATCTTAAATAAGCTGTTATTATTGTATCCAGCTAATTTAGTCTACTAAATTCATCACTGAAAATACCATGAGTTGATACTTGAGGTTTTCTAATAAGATTCTTGTCCACAAATAGCAATACTATCTTCCTTCCAATAGCACCTTCTCTTACATTTATTTCTAGGGTTATATCTTTCCACAGGCTTTCTTGAAATTTAAGTAACAATGATACCCCATTTGTATACTTTCTTTAAAAAAAAAAGGGGGGGGATAAAATCAGTTGCAAAGCTCTGTAAAAGCTGGTTATCCCAGCTCTCCACTCTGGCTTCCTGAGCCAGTGGAAATGCAACCCAGCAAGCCCCACCCGAAGCCTCCTGGGCAGCCAGCCAGCCTGGAGGCTAAAGGAGATGGAACACCATGGGGTTTGTTACTCAACTTCAGCCTAAGTCTCAAAGTCAGTTAAATCCAAAATAATAAGCTTAAAAAGAATGGCATATCTTTCATTACACTTTATACTGTCTGCTTTGAGGGGTAGGAAAAGAAAAAGAAGAAATAATCCTCCCCTCATTCAGTCCCATGTGACTTGTAACATCTGTATCTACCAGCTCTTAAGGTTTTTTGAGGTCTAAGTCATATCTTACTTATCTTCAGCCGCAATTCTAGGATTTATCATAGTGCCTGCACTCAAAAGACAACACAGTCTTGTTAATTATGACAAAAAATATTTAAATGCAGAACAGTTAAACCTCACTGATCCTTAAGCAAGTGGCATGGTGGCTCTGAGACTCAGCTTCTTATCAATACAATGGTAAATGGTGCAAAGGTTTGTTTCAGGACTAAGAGATACTGACTTAAACTATTTAACACACTAGATATAAATAGCATTACTATAGCTAACTCTCATAAAAGCAGTTTGGTAAAAATGATCAGATTTCAAACTAAGCACTTAAAAATACTTTGTTTTGTAAGGGTTCTATGGGCATCTTTTCCTAGCATTACCTTTATTTTTCTCTTTTTGATTATGCATTTTAGGCTTAATTTAGAAGTATACTTCCTATGACAATGGTAGGTGCTAAATAAATTCACGCCAAATTTAACGAATAATCCTAACTAACAGAAGCAGAGTTCAGGTTTCTAAGTTATAAACTATTACTAATATCTAACAATTCAATTCAAGTAAACTGTCTCAGTGTTAGTATGAGGTGACAAATTCCTTACACAAACAAAATTACTGCCTAAAAAAAGAAATGTAGTACTTGAGCTTACTTTGTCTTATTAAGGAAAAGTTTGCCTGCTGCCATGAAATAAAAGAATTGTACTGTACCTTTTCCCTCCCAGGCATCAAAGGCATCCATCATTTCCTTCAATTCTGCTACTGAATAATAGCTCCAAATGTACTGAACATTATTTCCAGCCTCTCTAGAAATATTGCAAAAAGTAATGAAACTATATTACCTAGGTATTGATATAATAAAAACATGTTACTTAGGAATTTATACAAATATATATCGCTAACAGACATAAAAGCTTGTTAGTTAAGAAAATTAATTAGTTGTTCTTTGGTGACCCTGAAGCATACATATGTGTATTTATATGTACATACATATAAACATATATATTACTTATATGCTAATCTATACTAATAATATACTATACTCATCTACCAAATTATCTCCATTTGACCTCATTTTACTATAATAAAGTATTTATTAATTCCTTCATATACAGACCATGCAAACAAATCAACAAAGTTTTCTAAGAAATCACTTAACCCTAATAAAGTTAGAAAAAAATCAAACTTTGACTGAAACTTTCCTAGGATTACATCAGGCACTTATATAGGATTATTTTTGCCTATGAAGAATCCAGAAATGGATGATATACTTAATCATCTCAAAGGCCAGCTTATGTGGCCATGTATTAGCCACTTACATGTGACCCAACCCAATCTTAATTTGCTAAGTCAATTAATTAGTGTAAGTAAGATAATAGGAAAAATAATAAGAGAAAAACCCTTAGGAAAGTAACATATTTGAGTCATTGCATTCTTAATCTAAGAGGGATCATAGGACTCTGTCATGATTTCTCAGACGAGGGCACAACACGCAAGCTGGTCCTGAGTCCCTCCCCAGGCCTACTGACTTCAAGACCAGTGCGTCAGCCACAGACTGTGGTGGCAGGGACAAACCCAAGCATGTGACTTTGCCTTTCTTTTTCTTTTTCAGTAAATCCTCATGGGATTCTGAAGCCCACTCCCAGTTGAGAACCACTGTACCAGGCCAAGAACATATCTTGTAGCTTATATACATTATGTTCTTAATTATAATCTCCATAGCTGCAAGGGCTCACATTTATATGCTGACAGACGCTACCAGAATATAATTCATTCAACAACACCTCTTAGAAGAGACCAAGATTTTGTGTTCCGTTTCATATTTAAATATGGACATACCTTTTAAAAATGCTTTTACTATGAATCCTTCCTCCCAGCTGCTTATCAATAGCATCTGTTCCATCACTTTTTGTAGCATATACACCAATAATTCTACTCTCACAGCTTGCACCAGATGTGTTTAGATAGTGGAGAACCCAAACTGTTGGTTTATTGCAAACTAAACCATACGAATCACAGAAGTCTGTTAAAGCCTGGAGCAAAAAATATATTATAAAATTTGAATTTAATTCTGGAATAAAGTAAAATGAATTTGTTCTATTACATTCATGTAAAGCTGCATTTTCAGTTGGTCATAAGGGAAATAAAATGATTATAAGATTCAGCCCAGTCATTATGCCTTTAAAAATCAATCAAGCATTTATTGAATCTATCTGCGGGAGGGCACTTACCCTCCCAAAGCAACACCCAAAACAACACCAAAATTCCTCTAGATGAAATACCTAGAGAATCATTCTCCACATGGAAATAACTTTATTTCAAAATATGCATATAATAAAGAAAAGTTAAGCATTTTCCCCCTTTATTTTCCTAAAATTTCCCATTTGATTCACTCTTCCTTTCACCTTCTACTGACAGTCCAGTAGTTGATACCTAACTCCATATCCAATCATGGATTGATCAGATTAACTTGCTCTTGTACACTGAAGATGAGAAGATACGAGCTCAATATATATGCTCTGAACTCACTTGGCGTTTAACCACCATTCATTTTTTTCACTTGAATAATAAGTGCCTACTATGTGCTGACCACTATCTAAGGTCCCAGAGACATAGTGAGCAACAGCCCTTCTATAGTTTACAGCGAATGCAGAAGACAGACATTAAATAAGTCATCAGTACACAAGCTCGTAAATGCCATAATGAGCCTACGAGGTGTTACCGGAAAAAGCAGGAGGGAGTGGCGGGGGTCTTCTCTGAGAGAAATGCCTTATCCCTATAACATGTATTTTGTCTGTCTGCTTACTGCCGCCTTCCAAATACACGGAATAGTTCCTGGCACAAAGGAGATGTTACTGACTATTTACTGACTCAGAGGAAGAAAACATGACCCTGAGGTTCTGTGCATCTTCACTTAAAGTTGCTATCTAACTCTTGCACTGTTTTTAATTTTACTTGAACATCTATGACAATCTCCAATAATTTTTAAATTATTTATAAAAGGGCAAGAAGTGTATGTTGCATTTCTTTGTGCCCCACAACCCCTAGTGCTTTTTATGCCACAAATACTTAAAGTGAATGTGTGCTGACAGAAAGAATATGCACACACTATGTCCTTTTGGAATATAAACTAGAAAAAGAGACTGAGTTTGGACTCAATTTAGAACCCATTTAACCATGCAAACTCCTACAAGGGGTTGAGAATCAAATCAACTTTCTCCTGACACTGCACAATGAATAGCCATTCCTCAGGTTGCTCACCTAAATACTGACACCCAAATCAAAGAATGTAAATGATTCACCTAAGATTGCACTATTAACAATTATATAGGAAAAATATTTTTTTTAGGTACCCAAAAGTGCTAATAGCAAAAATAATACAAATGAATAAGGCAAAAACAGATAATGAAGATTTCAAAGTCACATAAAGATCTTTACAATATTATTTAAAATAGGGACATCTTAAAGAAAGATTTACTAATTTCAAAAATGAATTAATCAAACTGATGTTTTAACTTAGTAACAAACTGCTAACTCACTAAATCAGGAAATTTTACACAATCTTTAATTTATCATGAACATTCCATTAAAAAAATAAGTTCAGTAAACAAAATAATACCACTAACCCTTCACCTGCTACAGTGCATGAAATTCTTAAAGAGAATTTCAGAAGTGGAGTAGCTGAATAGTTCTATAAAAAAAAAAAAGCTGGGTCCTCCCTGGTGGCACAGCGGGTTAAAGCACAGCACTAAGAAGCTAAAGCCACTTCAGCATGAGTTTGATCCCCACCCCAGAGGTGACCACATGGCCAGGCAGACCTCTCCTGACCCACCCGCTGCTCCCCTCAGCAATGTACTTCCTTGATCTGCCTGTTCTACTCCCCACTGTCTGGGGTGAAGCCTCTCACCACCCTCACACTTCTGGCCTGTACCCCAGTTCTGTATGAATAAATAAATAAATCTCAAAAAATGCTTAAAAAATTTTAAGAAATGCTCCTTAAAAAAAAAAAAGCCATCAGAAAGTGTCAAAACTTCTGTGAGAAACAAAAACTGTGAGCCTTTCCACACACTTTTGAGTGGCAACATCACACATTTTCCTAGAACAGAACTTTGGCCTCAAACAGATAAGTAGTAATTAAGAAATACTTCTTCAAAAATAGAAAGTCTCTCATGTTTGTTTTCAGGACAATAAAGACTAAGCCAAACAACATGAACATGTTACTTTGTGTGTAAGTGTGTGTATATATGCATACATATATATTTTAAAACTTAAGAAAATGCCAAGACCTTTTTAAGTTCTATATTTGACCTTAAAGAATATGTCTCCATTTCATTGGCCAAGTGGTCAGATAGGCTGTAAGGATAAGGGATGCCAAAGTAATCAGCCTCTTCCTGCAGAGCAACCCGGGTCTGTTCATCTGTGGGAACGTGAACTTCTCCGTGAAGATAATCCAAAAGGTATTTAAACAGATGGCCATCGCGGTCAATAACACAAGCCCCTAAAAAAAACATTAAATTCAAAATGAATGCATAGATACATATGGCCATTAATAAAATGTCAGTGTCAAGCTAATATCAAACTGCAGGCCCATATAATTAGAAATGCTCCTTTCTTATAAGAAAGTCATCATTAAGTCTTCCAAATAGATTTAGTCAAATTGGTGACACTCTGTACTCTCACCAATCATGTTTGAAAAGATATTCTGAGCGCCATTTGGAATTTTGGAGGCAATAACCATATTCCCACTACAGTAACTACAAAAGCCATGGATATCTTAAACCGCTGCTAGAAAGGGAAGCTTGCCCCTAACCTCAGCCCAGCTAGGCCAGGAAAGAGGTGTGGAGTCACCCTAGTGAGGGCAGGTGGGGTGCTGTTTACTAGGTCCAGTATTTGTCCCGGGGTTCCTAGCTCTAAGAATGCCACATTGGACTTACTACATTAGTTCCTTTGTACTTATGAGATCCTAAACTTTAAAAATGTTATGTGGTATCATTTATGAAATATGATTTAGCAGAATTTGTTCTATGATTAGTTTAAAAAGAAGGGATTAAGAGAATAAAACTTGGGGACTGAGGGAAAAAGCTCCATCACTGCTTACCATCTTTTCTCTAGTGACCTTTCTGCCCAGATGAACACCAAGCTCTGGGCACCAGCCAATTGGTGTTTTCCATTAGCTGGCAAGGCGGTCTGTCAAGACCCATCATTACTAGCAGCCCCTCACACTCAGAACTCCTCAACCTCTCTCCAATACCTTTAAGACATGGCCACACTTGCATTACTGAATTTCTGTCACCTCCAGAGCACTTAATCAGAGAGAGCTAACCTGGAACCCTACCATACGCTTCAGTTTTTTCTGAAAAACCAATTTTCAGTCCTCTGCCAGTGGATGACTGATGGTATCGCTGCACTAACATTTCTGACATTTTCTCAGGCACACATTATCATCCGACACAGGGCTACCCTAAGCTGGATGAGGTGGTGAGTTAAACACTAACTCTTCACTGACAGTGACTGCCCTGTCAGCTACAAGGGGAGCTGCTTTGTCCAGAGAAAGACAATTTTTTCATTTGAAAAAGACAGAAGTTGAAATATTTAATCAACCTTAATATACCTTCATCCATGAAGTTATATGCATGTAACTTTCAAAATATAATTAATCTCCTATTTACATCATGGCTGGCCTTTGAGCTCTCATTTTTTGTCAACTTTGAGCAATGACATCCAATTCCAGAAACTGGTATTTAATTTGTCCGTGTACTGAATGATTCTCCATACAATTCTAATAATCTCAGTAATTAACACACAAATGTAATACATTCTGTTGCAATTAAGAAACTCAAAGGGAATTTAAAGGAGACTCATTTTAATGAATATTCATGATCATGCTTACAGACTTTATTTACCTGATTCATCTGTTTTTAGAGGAAAGCGACCACTGAACATGGACGCTAGCATTGAGTCCTTAAAACGGCACAAGGACTGTCGCCTGGCTGTATAACGATAGCCACCCACGTTCAGCCGCAGAATATCTAACACCTCTTCTTCTGCCTTGGGGCCGTCCATTGCTCCCACCGACAACTGAATTTTTACCTCAAAACACTTTCAGAAATTGCAAAACAATGGCAGTCCTGTCCCCTCTGGAAAAATAAAAGACAATCACCACTGACATTCCCAACAATGCACTAAATAGACATAATAAAATATACTTTTAATGTGATTTAAAATAAATTCCATGGCATTGGCAATTTTGAATTGAAAGGTTTTACATATTGTAAAAAAAAAAAAAGTTTTGAGATATGCTAAGCAGCTGGAAAACTGGCTCCCAGGATTTGTAAATGATAATAAACTACTACCAAACAAATTATAGCTGTGGAAGTGATTGTATAAAGATGTAAACAAGATAATACATGATCTGTCACACAGAAAGCAGTCGTGAGATATGCTTATGATCTTTGGTATCACATAGCTTTTTAAGCGACATTAAGTTGGAGAGAGCTGTGGAGACTGCCAGCAAATACTTATCTTCCTGAGCTTGTTTCCGCATCTATAAAACAGAAGCAGCAACTGTGCCATTCTCAAAAAAACTATCAGAGGAACAACTGACAAACATACAAAAACAAATTTAAAACAAGTCTCTGCCTCAGATTATATACTCAATAAATGATAAACATCCATCGTGATATAAATTTTACCACAGATATTTAAATAACTCAAGGTATTTGTAATGATAATTAATTCTTAAGCTAGGTAACTAAGAAATATATTTTATCAACTGAGTTCAGAATTTTACATATACTAGTAGACTGGTTCAGAAAAACAAACAAAAAGGCATCTCTACATCATCAGGTTTCTTCACACCAGAATGGCTCAAGTTGTAGAGGAAGTCTTATGATTTGACTTCTTAACACACTCTGGAGATGGGTGATCCGCAGATGACTATGGAATTTCTATGGGAAATCCTCCCCGTTTTGAGATCCACTGTACCTGTAGATTTCATAGCGAGACTAAAATAGCCGCCAAGAGGCTCAATGACAGCCTTGGCAATTCACGTTTGACTATGCAATCAACTGAGATACATTTGCAGGTGCTTCAGTTTGGCCAGTCTCCAGGGATATGGAATAATGACACCATCAGAAAGTCTGAGGAAGACCATAGGTGTCAAAGGTGTTCAGCAGAAGAAAATCATTACGTGCCAATGGTCCAGCTATCAAAACCATTATTGAGATGACTTTTTAAGCTGCCTGAAATTTGCGGGAACAGCACCGCTAGGGACACATGTGACGTACCACCTCTGGATAAAACTGGTTCACCATCCTAGTCATCAGTGCTCCAGAATCCTACCTATTCTTCAAAGCTGATGGGTGGTGGGCAAATTTCCTTAATTGTAGGACTTTACCAAATGCCCTCAGCCTCCCGTTTGAATCCTTACACAGATCTACAAACACATTTTGTGCTTTTGTCCATATTTCATCTCATTTGTTTAATTCCCAAGGTTGAGAACTCCAAACCCAAGAAAGTCAGGGCTAGGTGGCTCTCAGTAATACCCGTTTACTGAATGCTTACTATGTACCAGTAACTGCAGGAGACACCTGACAGGACCCAATTTCCACAAAAGCCCTAGTAGGTAGTAATTACTGTCCCTTTTGACGGATGAGTACGGCGGAGAAAGAATGAGGTGTGCAGGGTCCACACTACCTCGCTAGGAAGGCTACCCTGCTAGTGAGTGGTGGTCAGCCCCCATCCTGGTCAGCAAGAGGGATCCCAAATCCTTTCTGCTGTCCAGTTCTTCCTGCTGTGGGCCACACTGCCTCCATCAGCAGCACTGTTTCACCCTACCGCCCCTGATCCGTGTACTTCATTCACCAGGCATCTATCTGAGGGCTCCTTCAGGCGGCCAGAGGCGCACAGCAGCGCCCTGAGTGCAAACACTTGTCAGACACCCCACCTTAATAAATTTCTCCTGACAGAAAGGCCGTCGGCGGCCCCATTCTCAAATGCACCCACGTTGGCTCCCTATTCATAAATGCCTCACAGTGCGGCCCTGTGACCACCTGCATCCAAACAATGTGAGACGAAGGCTGAAATGCTGATTCCCGGGCCACGGCACGGGGTTCGGCTCAAGAAGTCTGAGGTAAGATCCCGAGTCGCTGAGGATCCCACTGTGAGAAACGCACTTAAGGCTCTCTACTCCTCCCGGAAGAGGGACAAAAGGGGAGGAGCGGGAACCCCGCGGCCCAGAGACCCCAAACCAGCCCGGAGCCCGAGCCTGCAGTCCGGACGCCCGAGTTATCAGCGCGGCCCGGGCCCTTCTTTGGGGTGCCCCGCCGCCTCCCGGGCCCGCGCGGCCCACCCGGCGCCCCTTTCCTCCGCAGGGCCAGGCCGGTAGGCAGCCTCCCCGACTGACCTGCAGCCCGCCGGGCAATCGGCGCAGCCGCCGGACGCCGCGGGGCCGACGCGGAAGTGAGCGCCTCCTCTGCTGCTCGGCCACTCGTGGAACAGCGCAGCCCCACCGGCGCCCCCGCGCGGCCCGATCCCGCCTGGCGATAGGAGAAGACCCGAGAGAGAGAGAGAGAGAGAGAGAGAGAGAGAGAGAGAAGAGAGGGAGGGAGGGGGAGAGAGAGAGAGAGAGAGAGAGAGAGAGAGAGAGAAAGGCCCCGCCACACCAAGCCCGCCACGCCCCTCCGGCTGGCCCCGCCCCTATGGCTGGCCCCGCCCGCCGTCTGGTCCCGCCCCTCCGGATGGCCCCGCCCCCAGATGGTCCCGCCCCTCCTGCTGGCCCAGACTCTCTGGCCTCTCTCTGGGACGGAGGAGGGCGCCAGAATTTGGGGTCTCAATACCCTACCAGAAAAGGGAAGATGGAAAAGCAGAGACTTAGCCTGCTTAAACATAAGAAGAAAAACGGATACTAGAAGTTGCAGTTGCCTGGTCAGTTAAGTAACAAGAGTAAGGAGGAATTAGGTCCTTTCACCCCCACTTTTAAGTCAGGGCCCTTCCCTCCAAATGGAGCTGCTCAATACCAAGGTTTATTAATATACTACACTTAAATAATTCCACTTGGATAGTGGTAGCAATCTCCAAAGCTGTTTCACAGAGAACATTTTTGTTTAATTTAGTCTGTGTGACAACCCCATATTTTATTCCCATTACAGTAAGGAAAATTGAGACTGGAGCAGACACTGAACACATGAACACCTGGCATCCTGCTAAATCTTTTGCATGCACTATTTAATCTCCTTTTAATAATCCCCAAAGAGTTCTTTCAGTTTCCAGCTGCATCCTAGCTTGTTCAAGAGACTGTGCTAAGTATTTCGAGATGAATAAAACAGTCCTATTTCAAAACGTTTCCCCAGAGCCAATAATAATTGGTTCCTAATTCCACTGGCTGGGTGTTAAGGAGAAATAAGGCAATGAGGGGAAAACCCACCTATTCCCTCAGAGATTAATAGACTTTTATCCCCTAAAATTCTGGAGCACCAGCTATAGACCAGCCACTCCGAGTGAAAAGCTGAATGAGCTCATCAGTCAATACTCCTGAATCACGGTACTTACATTCTAGAGCAGAGGTCAAAAACTTTTTTGTAAATATCTTAGATTTTTGAGGGTCATATACAACAACTCAGCTCTGCTGTTGCAGTGTCAAAGCAGTCATAGTAACAAGCAGCAGTGGCTGTGTTCCAACTTTACAGTCATGAGTCACTTAATTAAGGGAACAGGTTCTGAGAAATGCATCGTTAGGTGATTTCATTGTTATACAATGTCCAACCGTGTAAATTACACAAATGTAAATGGCATAGCCTACTACACAAGGAGGCTATAGACCCAACTATAACCTGTTGGGGCCACCGTCATATAGGCAGCACAAGATTGACCAAAACATAATTAAGTGACACATAACTGAATTATGGTCACCACATTTGAATGATACATAATTTTCACATTTTGTGAAACATCTAAAAAAAAATTTCAAACATAGATATGTAGAAACCATTCTTAGTTTGTGGACTATAGAAAAACAACTGGCCATCCATAGACTGCAATTTGCCTACTACTATTCAGGTGGGGAAAAAACAGACACAAAGGAACATAGTTACAGTTCACCATAACTAGTTGGGAAGAAATAGTGAGGATAATGTCAGGTGGTGATGACAACTGGGTGGAAAGGCATCGTTGATCAGGCAATATTTAAATTGAGTACTAAGGGTAAGAGTGAGTTCACCTTCTGAAGGAATGAGGGGAGAGTCGTTTAGGAAGAAGGGAGGGCAAGTCTAAAGAAGGAGCTGGAGACAGAAAAGACTTCACAGTTTGTAGGAAGAGAATGCACTTGGTGAGCACGGGACGGGGGGAGATGATAAGAGGTGAAGTAGAAAGGAGAGGCACAACCAGTTTTTTTAGAGTATCTAGTGGCTGTAGAAGAGTATGAACTTTATTCTAAATGTAACATGGAGCCATTGAAAAGTTTTAAGCAGGGAGGTGGAATGATTGATTTACCATAAAAAAAAAATCCCTCTATCTACTGTAATGAGAATGGATTGAAGAGATATAAAATGAAAGTAGGCTACTATTGCAGAAATGCAGAGGATAAATGGCATAGCTTCTACAGCAGTGGTGATAGCCAGAGAGAAAAGTGAGTGGATACAAGAGTTATATGGAGGAAATAGAAATAATAAAAAACTTGCTGACAGAGCGACTATGACATGTTAGTTCAGTCTGTCTGAGAAACAAGCAGTTAAGTTCAGATTTATAGGGGGAGACATCTATGAGGGAAATGGAGGAATCTGAAGAGGACTGGGAGAGACTTTAAACTGGAGGCAGATTCAACACTTGAAAACAGAAAAAGAAAACTCATAGATAGGATGCAATTCTAAGAAAGTTTCAGGAAGCTTGTGGGGAATCTTCAAATCAGTGCTCCCCATCAAAGGGACCCTCTGTCTTCTGGGAATAGACTTGCCTTCATATCCCTGCCACACTCAGTCACCAGCTGCGAGTAGCCAGTGGAAAGTGCAGCCTGGGACATGTTGACAGATTTTAGGGCACAGAAACTGGGGCCATCAGTCAATAATGTTCCCTGTAATTGGAGATCTGTAATTAATGACGGTCACGAATAGGAAATGAGATAAAAAGGGGTGGGGAAATTCAGCATTAACCCTAAATCGTTGCCTTGAACAACTGAATCGTGGCGTTCTTTACTGAAATGGTGAATTGTGGGAGAGATCAGTAGCTGTGTTTTGGATTATTAAGATTAGATATTTAATAGACATCTATGTGCAGATCAAATAGCTACTGAATGAAACTAGAGTACAGATGGGGTGAATTTGAAAGGCATCAGCATTTAAAGACAGAGGACTAGATGAAATCATCGATGTAAAGAGTAGGTAAGTAAGAAGAAATAGGATGAAGCACAAATCCAGACCCTTAAAAGTCAAGTTTAGAGAAATGAGCCAGAAGGGAAGGAGTATGGAATGCTACAGGAATCAGTTGAAGAAAGTGTAATTAATTTACATCAAATGCTGCTAAAAAATGCAGAGTTCCTCCTGCACAGCTGGTGGGAATAAAAACTAGTACAACCACTATGGGAAACTATTTGGAGGTTCCTCAAACTGTTTAACATGGAGCTTGCATCTGACCCAACAATTCCACTCCTAGATATCTACCCAAAAGACACAAAAACACTGATTCAAAAAGACACCTGCACTCCCATGTTTATTGCTGCTTTATTTACAATAAGAAAGACATGGAATCAGCCCAAATGCACAAAAGTAGATGACTGGATTAAAAAGATGTGGTACATATAAACAATGGAATATTACTCAGCAACCAAAAAAATAAACACATGCCTTTTGCAGTAACATGGGTGGAGCTGGAAAAGATCATGCTTAGTGAGATTAGCCAGGAAGAAAAGGAAAAAATACCGCTGGTTTCACTCATAGCAGGAGTATTTAGGATCAGGCAAGAAAATAATAATAATAACAAACAACTATATACCAGAGACATTTTATGGGGGTGGAGTAGGGAATGGGGTCAAAAACAGTGTGGGGAGGGAAATGCACTGGACTATGGTGATGGCACAAGGGTGATGTGGTGATGGGAAGCCCAAGGGGGTTACAACTGAGATGGGAAAAGGCACAAAATGATGTAAAAATAAACTATTATATTATTTAAAAAAAAAAGAGAGAGTTCACCAAGGATACAACCCCAGGTAAACTGGGTAGAAGAGTGACCAGGGAACCTGGATATAATTCTTGTAAAGTGTAGAGGAGTGGTGCTATAGTTGAGGTGGAAGGTGGTGTCAAGAGAAGGATTTTAGAATGAAAGCCACTAGAGCAGATTATGCTGACAGAAATAATCTATTAACAGATAGGTAGAGACTGAGGATACAGGAGAGAGGGAACAATTGAAGGAATAAAATACTTGAGAAAGCAAAATAATGTGAGAACCAATACTCAAAAAGAGGAATTTCTGTCAAAAGCAAGGATAGGAAGTGAAATAGAATAGATTTAAATTCAAAGAACTTGGTAGACTTCACAGTAAAGAAAATAGGAACAATTATTGTAGTAAAGTAGCACAAAGTACTGAAATAAACCTTTCTCTGTCTTTTGGCTGTCAGCTCAAAATGCCTTCCTGAGTCTAGGTGGGAGCAGAGATGGCCTCTCAACTGAGATTCTGCAGCAACCAGACACTGGCTAAATGTTCGGGCCTCCTTTGCAGCATCCTTTGCAGGTGTTTGCAGCTCATGCCTGACATAGAAGACACACTGAACCCGACTATATCAGACCTATCAGATGTGGTGATGCCCAAGTAGGGGTGGGGAGCTACAGCACAGTCATGCTCACTTTCCCAGCAGCAGCTGGGGGCATGTCTGAGAGGCAGTATTTAGAGTCACTGGGTAACTAGATTCCCTCCAGCCTGTAGCTTCAATTTTTAGAAAGATTAAACTAAGCAGAATCAAATAACAAGCACACTTTGCTCTCCCTTTATCCTCCCCCTGACCCCTTGTGATTTATTTTCCAACTGCAATCCCAGAAACCTTGAGAACTGATTGTGCTACATCTTCAAAAAAATTCTCTGTGCTCCTCTGAAGTTAATAGCTTTAGGGGCAAACATCTGCTAGACTGTTAAGCCCCAAAGGAACACTCTCTGCTGAAGAAAATAAACACTGTATCTCAGAAGCCCACACTACCCAGCATCTCCTCCATCTGGGACTGCCAAGCCCTTACTCACCTTAAGTCCCACACCTCTTTCACTTTCCTAACCTAATCATGGCACTGCATCAGTTGGGGGAGCCAGATACTTTTGAGGTACTAACCCTGACAACTTTCTTGCTGGCTGCCTTGTATAATAAACTCCTTAATGCAAAGATTCAGAATTTGGCTTCGGGAAAATACCTAGTTTGGTCTCTTATAACTGAGGCCTTGCAAGATCAGTGGCACTCTCTCAGGCTGGGCGGGTAGCCTGACTGTGACTGAGGCTATTGCCAAGACCCTTTTGCTCTCCCCTGGAGTTTCCAAGCTCACATCTCTGTCCTTTCCAGAAAAGCTTTAAATCACCCAACGCCCTTTCCTGCTTCTATCAGTCTGTTTTTGTTTGGGGCAATTCAACCTGTCAGACTGATACAAATTATCAGATCAGATGTATGCTAGAATATAAGCATATTATTTCTACTTTTATTTATTGATTTGCAGTGTTTCTTTTACTGGGCTCCCTTTCAAGGACTATTTTTCTTGGGTGCATTTTGTTTTAGCAAAACGGATATGTTACAGAGGATTTTTGTTGCAGCTTGGCAATTTGCTTTCTTTCTCCCTCTCCCTCCTGTGGGTCCAAGCAATCAAATTTTAATTGACTGAAATCTACCTTTCAATAGAGAAAATCAAGCAACTAATGCATGTAATGATAAAGAGAAATGGAGGAAGAGGTACAAAATTCAGTGCCTTATGCTGGAGAGTATCATAATAGAGCTCATTTAATTTAACTGATTTATTTTACAGAGAAGAAGCTTGCAACAAAGAACATACAGCTAGTGAGACTCAGGAGATAACTAACTGTATCTATGCACTGCTAGTCCAGGGTTTCTGCCTCTATCCATCATACCAAGAGGCAAATGCCCAAAAAGCAAACTCATACCAGCTTACATTTAGCTCAGTTACATACACTTTTTAGGTTTATGGTTGTGTGTAACAAAAACTTGCATTTTGAAAAATCTAAGAACAGACATTTTGAAAGATTTACAAAATTCTTGGTTCATTAAATTCTCTCTACTACTGTGAGATAAGATAATCAGTACTTTTTCAAAAAATAAAGCATTGGCATTCATGTCTTGATAAATTTTTAAACAGCTCTCCTTTCTGTGACTTCCCTACTCCCTTTTTTATATGTTGGTTTTGAAATTTTAGTTGTAAAATGAACCAAGAAGAAAGCATTATTAATATATTGAACAATGAGTCTTTTGTTTGGAAAACAATACCCACAAAAATATATTGGGTATTGTTATTTATTTCACAAATGAAAAAAGAGAAGCCAAGAGAGATTATGTGACTTGACTAATAGTATATAGCCACTAAATCACAAAGCCATGACATGGTTTGTTAAAATAAACAACAATATATATTAAGAATTTAATGTGTCGGACTAGGTAAACAAGATATATGGCTAGTTAAACCTTCCAAAACCAGAAATTTCTATAACCAAAGTACTACATTTTAAATGACCACTATTAAAGTTTTTACTGTAATTTTAACAGTTGGCTAGTCTATACTTTTCTACTTAAACAAGATTCATGTAGCCAGATTTCTTTGGAGACTTATCTTGAAGAACATTAGGCTAAAAGGTCTAACTCAAAATTTTTTGTACTGTTTTGTCTGGATTTTCTAAAGTAAAATGGAGTCATGATACTTCACTCTTCCTAAACGAGAAAGAAATTGATGAAAATATAAAACTGATGGAATCGCAGTGTAATCAATTAAATCTAGATGTAAACTTGTTTCATTTTTAGATTAATTAAATACAAACAAAAAATTTTTCCAAATTCTTTTTAGTAATTCTTTAGATTACTAAAGTCACTGTGTAAGGAAACTAAGCTAACTGACTTGGAACACAAAGTGAAGCGTGTGTATGTGTGTATGTGTGGTATGTATAACAGAAATGGCATTCTTGAATATTTATTGAAGCAGACAATATAAAACCTAAATATTAATGAGATCTTGGGTTTTTTTTTATGATAGCAAATTTTATCTAGTGTCAGGTCAATTTATGGTTCCAAGGCTTTATTTCTTTCTTTAAAGACTCAAAATAATAAATTCTAGCACATTTGAGGGAAATTCTATTAATTTAAAGGTCAGATCTATACTCCGTTATACCTGTAGTAATCACTACTTGATTTTAATTTGGTTCCCAGTTAAACCATGTCTTTTTTTTTTTCATAATTCCAAACTGCTCTTTATTTGAATTAACACTGGTTTACATCATTGTATATAATTTAAGGAAGAGGTCCAGTATTTATTTTTTAAGATTTATTTATTTATGCATACATAGGTAGGGTGCAGGCCAGAGGTGCAGGGGCAGTGAGGATTCACCAGAGACAGAGTAGGGAGCAGAACAGGCAGATCGACAAAGTGTACTGCTAAGGGGAGCAGTGGGCGAGACAGGAGAGATCTGCCATGCCATGTGGGTCACCTCCAGGGCCAGGGGTCCAACTCGCACTAAAGTAACTGCAGCCAGCTTGCAGTGCTGCGTCCTAACCCGTTGCGCCATCACAGAGGGCCGAGGTCCAGCATTTTTAAGGAAAAACGGAGAAGCTTTTTAGTGAAAACTAGGACTGGTATATTGCAAAGATGAAAACAAACAGAAGGATGTGGTAAGCAGGCAGACTAACTGTAGTATCATTAACAACAAAACCTTTCAAGACTTCAGTTTAAGATTTTTTAGCTATCTGATTGACAAAAGGTAGCTGTTTTAAAGGCACACTTTCTTCTCAACCACAGGAGATACTGCAAACCCATTATCCGCTCTGAGTCGCAGGGTTCAACTGACCACGTCCCCTCCAGGCACTCGCGACGAGGCCCCGCCCCTTCCGTCTCCCACTTCCTGGTGACCGCGCTCCTTTGCGCCGCCTTCTCGGGACTTGATTGGTTGGTATGGCAACCGCCAACGGCTGCTGAGTTTAAACCCGAGCTCAGGCCGCAGGCGCCGAGCTCCCGGAGCGGGGTGCTGGCCCCCCACGCTGAAAAGCGGTAAGTCAGTGCCTGCCCCTCCGAACCTCTGGGTCCCTGAGTCCTTTGTCAGTCCAGTCCCGCGCGGCGCCCCATCTCGTCACCTTTGCTTTTCGCCCTCCGGAATCCGCCCCGCGGGCCCGCTGGGCTAGTGGGGTTAGTGGGCGGAGGTGGATTTCAGCCGCTCCCTCTTTTCCCTGGGATTTGGGCTCCGATGGGGAGAGATCTGCTATCTGAAAGGTCAGCTTCTTGAAGGAAGGGACTGCTGTCTTGTGACTGCTGTGCACCCTTCTTTAAGAACTGTCTCTAGCTCACTGGGTGCTCAGGAAGTATCTGCTGCGGGAAGGCTAGAAAAGGATTGTCCAGGTTCTTGAAGGAGCCCCTTTGGAGCGCTCTGTGTGTGGAAGGGAGGCCATGGGTGATGGAAGATCGGGGAGAATTTAGAACTTTAACTGGGTCGTTGTGTACTCGTAGGACTTAGGAAATAAGGACAATGATGTGTTTTAACTGAGGGATCCAATTCGGGTGAATTGGATGTGCAGCTGAATATTCTGATTTAGAATTAGCCAAGATGCTACTCAGACAGGCGCAGAGCAATAATGAATAGATAATAGTAAGTACAGACTGGACATCGGCTGCAACGCTGGGCTCATTTAGTCTCTACAACGCGACGCCTTTACTTTCTATAATTTTATAACATCTGGAAATTGAGACTTGGAGGGTTAAGACCAGATGGCTATTAAATATTGGGACTGGACTCTCACCCAGTTCCATCCACTACTTATAATGCTTTAGTGTTGCCGTGTGACAGTTTTCCAAGGGCCTGGTTTTGGCTTCTCAGGTCATGCTTGGTGAGGTCGTTAATATGGAGGAGGACAGAGCAGTGTTATAGAAGACTGATTATCTGCATGAGTATTTGGGTAGGGGCTTGATAGTGTTAACAGGTTAGGTAACCAAGAACAACTTTTTTGGGGAAAACAGTTCAGCTCTGGTTTCATAAAGTATTTGATTATCCTGATTGGATTTTTTCTTTTTTGGAGATGAATTAGGTTTCTATGTTCGGATCTCTTTCAGGTGTGGGACACACATGTGTGCATGGAGTTTGTGCTTGTGCCAGCCTCTGTTCTATCTATGGCATGTATGGTGATCTACTTTGAGCTACTTAATGTTTCTTTTTGGCAAAACTTTTAGAAGAAACAGTGAATCAGAGGTTCCTCGTTCAAATTATTCTCCATTGCATAAATGTATCAACTTCTTCACAACATAGTCAAAGGAGACTTACATTGAATAGTTTTTTGCTATTTGCAATTTCTTCCATCAACAAATATCCGTTAGCTTCCATGCATCATGCAATAAGGATACAAACATCAAAAAACCTTGACAAAAATCTGTGCCTTCTGTGGAACTCATTTATTTAATAGAAGACAATGTTTTTTTAAGCATAGTTTATGCTAGACATTGATATGTCAGTGTCTATGAAATGAAATTTAAAAAAAAAATAAATTGGAGCCAAGTATGCAGTTTTAAATAGTTTGGACTAGAGAGATTTATTAAGAGAGTGACATTTGAGCAAAAACTTGACAGAAATGAACAAACCCTAAATTTATTTGAAGGAAAAGTTGATACAAATGAGAAAAGGAAGATAAATATTCTGCCAATGGAAGCTTGTCAAGATGGCCAACTCAGCTGGCTTTAGTAAGAACAGTAGTTAACTTGTCAGGGAGGCACTGATTGGGGGTGGGGGGAGCTGGCAAAGGGGAGCAGAGTCAAATTGCATGGTACCTTATAGGCTCCTAGGTGAGATGGAAAGCTGGAGGGTTTTAAACAGAATTGAAATGAACTTACTTAAGTTCTAAAGGAATTATTTTGCTTACTGGGTTGAAAACAGATAGGGGAGAAAAGGTGAAGCAGGGACACGACTTACATAGCAGCAGCAATGTACATGAGAGAATGGCACCCTGGAATAGAGCAGTGGCAGGAGAAATGATGGGAAGTGGCCCATGTGACTATATTGTGAGAGTTGGGGCCAGCATGACTGATGCTAATAGAGTGGGTGTAAAATGTGAAAGCACTTTCTGACTTGACAAACTGGAGGGTTAAAGTTGCCATTAAGTGAGATAGAGAGGATATAGTGGAACAGGTTTGGGTGAGGAGTTTAGAGCAGGTTAAAATGGTCGATGCATATTGAACTCCCTTGTCAGAAGATGAGTAGACAATTGGATTAATATCTCTGGAAGTAATTAGGGATTTAAATTTGCAAGTCCATCTGCATTTAAATGTGTAAATCAAGGCACTTGATGATCTCTTTGAGGGATTATATGCAGACAGAAAAGATATGAGAAACAAGTACTAAAATATGAGGCACTTTGATGGTACAAGATTAAAGAGCTGGCAAAGAACCAGCAAGAGACTTAAAAGAAGAGGTTGGTGAGTAGGAGAAAACCCAAAAGAAAATGATGCTTTGGGAAGCAGGTGAAGAAAGTCTTTTGGGGAGAGGGTGATCTGATGTTCTTAGAGCAAGTAAAATGGACAGTGGTCTTGATTACTGTAACATGACATTTCAGTGACCTTAGTGATCAGTGTCCTTCCAGTAGCATTGAAAGCAAAAACTAAATTGAACTGCATTAAGAGAATGGAGATGAACTGTAGACAGCAAATATAGATACTCTTTAAAGATCTTTTGCTATGAAGGGAAACAGGATAATAGCATTTCAAAATCTAGAGTCCACTTGTTTTTTTCCTAAATGGTCCATTTTCCTCCATTTACATGTGCCCTTCTTCCTGGGATACATGTTAATCTTAAAGTTTTAAGGTTTGTCAACAAATACAGGTTGTCTTCATGTTATTTGCCAGGTAGAGTTCTATGAGTTGGATTTTATGTCAGTAAATAAAATAAGTAAAAATTCATGCCATTATGAAACCTAGGTTTTCAGTTGGGGAAGGCAGCTAACTGAATGCAGCACCCACAACCAAAAACACATGTAGTTCTTGAGACTCCTTCCTTGCTTTGTTCTCTTACCCCCTCTGGTAGCCGCACTTCTACAGTCAGGTCTCTAGACTTGGTTACTGATTTGGCTTTCAGGTCTCTGCAGATGGAAACAATGGGCTTGAAGAAGATGGGAGCTTTGGTAGTGTCCCAGTACATGGTTCAACATCTACTAGGCCATCTCAGTAGAACCTTTTCCGTTCCTACTCTGCCCAGGCAGAGTTCATCACCTTCATGCTTTGCATATTATATCCATTATTCTTGTCATGTGAGTCTCATGTTTTTATTATTAGATTTTAAGTTCTAATAGGCCTAGATCTAATAGATAGACAATTTTCATATTTTCTGCCTACTCTTCCAATATCATCCTCACAGCCCACGTCATCCCATAAAATTAGGTGTGTCTCTTCCATGCCTAATTCTGAGGTTACAGTTTGAATAGCGTCTGTACTCACACTGTTCTATGAAGCCATAGCCTGTTTTGTCTCCAGTGCCTAACCTAACCTGGCACATCAATATAAAAATAGTTTTAAATAAAAACCAAAGCTAATATACCTTTTTTGGATTCTACTTTAGACCACTTTCAAATTTTATACAGTTTTACAAATATTTACATAGAACAAATGTAATTGTTACTTTTTATAATGTACTTATGTTATCCTTTTTTATTAATACTAAGATTTCTTTCTTTTCTCCTTTTTTTACTTCAGTGATGGAGTACCCAGCGATGGACACTGGCTCACTTTTTACCTCAGGAACTAAAAGACATGTGAGAGAGAAAAGGAATTCAAAGACTGCCAAGTTGAATGTTTCTCTTGCTTCAAAAATCAAAACAAAAATATTAAGTATGTCCCATTAGTTTTAAAGTATACTCACAATTTTACTTTCCCTGGAGAATTGACATAGTTAGTACTTTTCAACAAGTGTAAAATTTGACTGTTTTGTTAATCAGTCCTTTTTTCCCAGTTAGTCTTTCATAACTCCTTCCACTCTAGTCAGTTGGCTAATTATAATGACTTAAACTCAGTAGTGACAACTGAATTGTCAGCAGTGAGACTGAGGTAACTCAAGGCAGCCCCTATACTAGGAGAAAATACTAAAGTGACATTTCTGGAAGAAAGCTTAAAGAAGTAACTGGTTGTTCTGGAATGCTGTAGCAATTGGATAATTGGTGACTTAGACAAGGTAGATAGGATGTTGATAGATAGGGTGTCTTACTGAGTAATTTTATATAAGCAGAGGTCTGCATAAAGACATTGAGAACTTTGGAGTCGGGATTTTATGAATTCTGAAACTAAGGTGTCAGAAAGGCAAGAAATCGGTGGGAAAATTCCCCACGGTAATTTTTCTTTTACTCCTGAAAATTACCCATTGTTCAGACCCATTTTAGCAAGAGTGGGAGTGGTCTCCTGCTGACATAGCACCCATGAAAGGTAATTGTGTATACCTTGTAAAATAGCTGAACTTCCTGAGTGTCTGTAAATCATAATGTTGTTTCTATCCAGATTCCCTGAGACCATGTTGTGAGACCATCTCCTGTAGTGGCTGTTTTCTGTACCCTTTCCCAAGACTTCTGTACATCCACTATTATGATTACTGAGTTTGAGGAGTGCAACAGGAAAATATTGTTATCTTTCAGCTTCTGAAAGCCTTAAGCTGCTGCTTGTCTGTTTTCATTTGCTCTATCAAGGATGGCTCTCTGAAACTACTTTCTCTGTAACAAAGATAAAGTACTTTCTTGGTCCTATTTTTTTAGGTGTTCAAACTCTCCTTGAGTTAAAAATATTATTTTGTAAAACACATTTTACACATGCTATACTTTTCTTGAATGGAATGTGATATTGAATAGTGACAAATAAATCAAACTTCATGAAAATATAATTATGCTGTAAGCATACCAAGGGAACTTATTAAATTTAAATTGAACTTCTCACAATGAAATTCCTTTACTATCAAAAAAAATCTTTCTGATTTAAATTGTATTTACATATATGTAAAGAGAAGAGACCAAGTTTAGATTGTTATAAAAGCCTAGAAATAAAAGGTAGAATATAGTGAAGGTATTAAATCCCACAGAATTTAATAATTTACCCAACATTATGTATGTACCATTAGTTTTAAAGTGTACTCACAATTTCACTTTTCCTGGAGAACTGACATAGTACTTTTCATCAAGTGTAAAATTTGACTGTTTTGTTAATTGATCCTTTTTTCCCATTTAGTCCTTTATAACTCCTACTCCAGTCAGTTGGCTAGTTATAAATGACTTAAACTCAGTAGTATGTTACTATACTTGCTATACTAAAACCCTTTCACTCCAGGCTTTGAAAAATGGACTTGTTCATTTGTTCAGTTCTGGAGCCACAGAAACTAGGTTTAAAATTTTCGTATTGTCTCTGCTAATTCCTTTGGGATATCCATTTAGAGCTGTGGGGTCAGCTTTTCCTCTTCCTTCCAGCCAAAGGTAAGAAGTAAGGTAAGGGAAAGGTATTAAGATTTAAGTTTTTGTGACAGCTTAATTGTCCAAATATTGTGTCAATACTAGAGTCATTTTATTTTGACTTTATATTCATAAACAGTCTGTATTCTTCACAACTCTTATTTTTCATTTTCATTTTTATTTCTTTAACTTCAAAATTGGTGTATATTTTTTCAAACTATGTCAGTATTATTCTGTTCTCCTGCCTTCATTTAAAAGTTGTAAAGTGAAATACATTTTTGAAAAAATAGTTTTATAAAGGAATATGAACATTTACTGAGGTATACTTTCAATACTAACTCTAAAAATTTTTTTTACAGACAATTCTTCTATTTTCAAAATTTCTTTAAAACACAACAACAGAGCATTAGCTCAGGCTCTTAGTAGAGAGAAAGAAAATTCTCGAAGAATTACAACTGAAAAGATGTTATTGCAAAAAGAAGTGGAGAAACTGAATTTTGAGAACACGTTTCTTCGCCTAAAGCTAAATAATTTGGTATGGAAACTACCTCACATTTGAAATCAAAATCACAACTGAAATATTAACTATATTTTAGAGGTTCTGAAATTTTTTTCATATCTCCAATTATTGTATAAAATTACTGAATGCATGTGCCATATTAATGGACAGATTATTTGCAGATAATAAAATAAGTATCTTGAATCTGTATTCTAAATTGTGCTTGTGTACAAACCAGTATAACTCAAACCAGTATAACTCAACCAACTTTAATTGCTTATCATAAGCAAGGCTTGGTACAATGGATACATCTTAAGATAGGCGTAATTCCATGTAAGTTATAAATACTAGCAAATTGAAAGAGTCCCAGAGTGTGTGCTATTTTCTAATCTCAGCATTTCATTGACTGTGAGCCACATAGAATAAAGATGTAGTTGTTTGCTTTTCTTCCCAACTTCAAATCTGTCCAGACAGGGCACTGCCATTGATTGAGTAGCCAGGCTGCAACTACAGATGTGACTTTAAAATGAGTAAGAAATTAATGTGAAATTGGAAAATGACCTACAGTGGGCCACAAGAGGGCTAAGTCTCAGCACTTTGAAGCTGTCTGCAGCCCCCTGCAGCACAAGTTTGATCTCCTGTTAGGGTGGTGACCCACATTGTAGCAGACCTCTCCTGTCTCACCCATTGCTCCCTTCAACAGTGTATTTCAGTCACTCCACCTGTTCTGCTCCCCACTCTGTCTCTGGTGAAGCCTCACACCTCACCACACCTCTTGGCCTACACCCCAGCTCTTGTATGCTTAAATATAATAAATCTTTTTTAAAAATTGGAAAAAGACCTACAAGAGGTTTTAAGCTCCTTTGGCTGGCAAATTATGTTCTCTTCCCATATGATGTATTTTTATGGGAAGATAGAAACATGTGAGAACATTTATGATTGATAGCTCAAAAATGAGAGAGAATAATGCTATTTGAACTCTACAACCTAGCATCTTTTTAGCTCATTGTAATCTCAGTTATTTTCTAAGTCTTTTCAACTTACGATTTTTGCAAATGTTTGGTCAGTCTTAATTGAACAAGGGGTATTTATTTTACATACACAGAATAAGAAGCTTATAGAAACAGAAGCACTCATGAACAATAACTTGATAACTGCAATTGAAATGAGCACACTTTCTGAGGTAAGTAGAATTTATGTGTAAGTAGAGTAATATTTTAGCATTACTAAGGATTACAGATTAAATAGCTTCAAGGTTAAAGACATATTTTAAACTTTGTACACAAAGATGATAAATCACTTATAACTGAAAAATAATACATTTGAATTTGGTGTAATTATTGAAATTATTAGATGTAAATTAGATTTTGATTACAACTAACATAGGTTAGACATTTCAGTTGAGCACAATAGCCCCTAAGCCAACTCAGAAACAAAAGATATTAGTAGAAATGTGGCATTTCAAATTAGGAAAGAATTTGTATGCTAAAAAAAAAAAAAGAGAGAGAGAGAGGAAACAACTTTTGGGGGGGGGATGTAAATAGAAGCAGATTCTATCATTTTCTGAAATAAATTGTAGGTGAATTTCAATGTAAAAAGGCAAGTCATATAAAATGAAGAAGATACAAATGAATTCATATTATGATTGAGAGACCTTTCTATACCTAGAAGCAAAGGAAGTTAGTGATAAGTTTTCTTAGGAAAAAATTGTTAGATGTCTAAAAGTAAAAAATAAAACGTAAATAGCAAACTGGGGAAATTAAGACCACATTCTGGGGTTTTCAATCTCATCCACTGCCACTTTCTGAAAACCGAAACACTTGTTCTTTTTCTCACCATACTACTACCTTCAACCTCTTTCTCTCTAGCCTCTTCAATAACAGGCCTCCTCTTTCCCACTCCTCAGATGTGAGCCAACTGCCACCTCAGGGGTTCTGTTCTTGTTTGCTTCCTTCAAATCTTGACTTGAGTAACTCATTGAAGTCTTCATGGCAACCCTGTACAAATCCAAATCCACCAGCACCCCATCCCAACATTTTATAGTCTGCTTTTGCTCTTAATTTTTCTCTTTAGCACTTAACATTAACACATGCAAATTTATTGTTCATCCTATCAGAATATGTCCTTTTTGGATAAAGGATTTTTGTCTATGTCCAAGCAATGTCTAGAATATAATGCAATAAATACTTACAAAATGTTGGATAGTGTTTTCCCATTAAGAATTACTTTTTAAATGTGAGGTTTAGATATTTATCCTGCAGTATTTGTTATTAAACTTTTAAAATAAAAAAATTTAAATAATAAGGAATACTTTTTTATTATCTGTGGTGATAATCAGTCCTATTGTCTTTCTTTTTAGGTGTGTAAGTATGATTTAGTAGCTTTCTAATTTTGAACTTCCAGAGTAAACTGCACAAATGAGTTATTGTTCTTTTAATGTGCTCCTGAATTCTTTTTGCTGGTATTTAGTTTGGAAACTCTTGCTATTCATATGTGAGGTTTCTTTGAAGTTTGTTTTTTGGTTTTTTTTTGTACACTCATTAGGTGTTGATAAAAATGTTTTATGGCCTCTGTTAACACCAGGATGACAGTACTAATGAAGGAGGAAGGGAGATTGTTACCATTGAAAATCCTGTTTCTCTATTAGGCTCTTTTGTTATCACCCTAGAGAAGGGCCTCTTTGGTAGCGAGTTAAGAATGGAGTCCAGAGACACCAGGTGTCCTTCACAGACACTGCCTGTGGGGGGTGGTACTCATTACAGCTCTTCCCTACACCACTCCTGACAGCCCTCCAGGTTTAGAGGGGAGTAACCTTGTTACATATTGTTTGAGTGAAAGTCTGGTTTCCCCATTTAACTTTTGCTTCTTGGTCAAAAGTAATTGACCAAAATAGGTGAAGGTTTTTTTCTGGACTCTTCTATTTCATTAACCTATTTTTTTTTTTCTGTGTTTATGCTAACACTATACTGTCACAGTTACTATAGACTTCGAACTTTGTTTTCTTTTTTAATCAAAGTTGTTTTAGCTATGTTATATCATTTGCATTTCAATGTGAATTTTAAAACCAGCTTGTTAGTTTAGCCATACCCATGTTAATGATACAGGCTGACTAACACTGTAGTACGAAGATGTTGTTGTGGTCCCTAATTTTATTGTCGGTATTAAATAGATAAAACATGTTCAGACACCATATCAGAAAATATAGAATATAGACAAGCAAAATCTAAAAGATTTTGAATTTTAGATGGCTTTTAAAAATATGCATTTGTATATCTTAAGGATATGATCCTGTATTGCTAAAGAATATACAATCTTATTTCAATTTAAAAGAGTATATTATAATGTCCTGTAATATATTACATAACATTTATCAAACATGAGTAAGTTACATGTATATATAGAGATGTTGTATGTATATATGTGTACCCATTTGTATTTATTCCTAGACATTAAAGGATGTTTGGAAAAGTATACCAAGGTATTAGTGGTATTGTCTTTGAATAGCATATTAAGGATGAAATATGTTTAATATTATCACATTCTTATTTAACTAATGCAGATATTATTCTATTGCTATTGGTTTCCTTATATAATTTGGTAGTTTAATAACACGATTTAAGGGGATTAGAAGTTTTTATTGTTGCTATTCATTTTCTTTGTTCTTTTCAAAAATAGTTTCATCAGAGTTCCTTCCTCCTGCCAACTAGCAAAAAGAAACGAGCTAGTAAACAGTGCAAGTTGATGCATCTTCCATTTGCAAGGTGATTGCTTCAAAACTTACTTGGCTAAATATTGACTTGCCCAATTCTACCTGAATTAAATTTTGAGTAGTTATTATGAAGAGAACCATATGATATATGACAATTTGTAATTGATCTCATTTTGTATAACACTTTGATTATATATCCAGTTAACATGGATCTTCATTCCTTTTTATCAACATGTATAATATTTTTATGACTGAATGATACTCTTCTGTGTGGACATACACTACATTTTATTCATCAGTTAGTGAACACTGCACTGTTTCCACTTTTGGACTATTGTGAGCAGTGGTGCTATAAACATTCGCATAGGACTCTGCATGCACATAGTTTTCAGTTCTATTGTTTATTTAACTACAAGTAGAATTGCTGGGTCATACAGTAACTCCATGTTAGACATTTGGAATTTTCCAAAGTTGTTGCACCATTTTACATCACTAGAAGTAAAGTATTGGAGTTCCAGTTTTTCCACCTCTCCAGTACTTGTTATTATCTATCCTTTTGGTTGTAGCTGTCCTACTTGTTATGAAGTATTATTTCATTGTGATTTTTGATTTGCATTTCTCTTATGATTAATGATAGTGAACACAGATGCATGTGTTGATTGACTATTTTTATATTAGGGTCATTATCTGACTATCTTTTTCTCTTGAGTTTAAATCATGTTTTTCTGTTGCTTCATAGGTTGTACAATATTATTATGCATAGGTTGTATAATATTATTTGCATAATGCACATTGTAAATCCTAGGTTCTAGAATATCTAAACTCGGTTATGTTCCTCCAAGTTTAAAGTTTTTACTTTGGTAGACAGGTACCTTGTCTGAACTTAAACTTCTTAACTCCCCTGTGATAAGCAACATATAAAATCTTGTTTTAGCTCTTTTACCCTCAATTAGACTATTTGGTATCTTCCAAGTGTGTGTGTGTGTGTGTGTGTGTGTAAGAGAGAGAGAGAGAGAGAGAGAAAGATTCAGGGATGAGCAAGAGATTCATAATATTTGGGCATTTCTACCTCTCCTGTTATTTCCCTCTTATAGTTGTCTTTATCGATTCTTGTTGAACTAATAAGACTCTAGATTTATAACTTTTTAAAATAGTAGAGCTGATTAAGTTTGTAAACAGTGGGAAACTCACCCATCTGTCAACCCCCACTCCTTCTGTACCCACTTGCTTTTTTGTTCACACTCCAGAAATTTCAGGTAGTTTTTGTTGTTATGTTATCTGTGATATCTTTGGCATACAAGGCAAAAAGCTTTAGCATTGGAGAATATTACTCTTCATTCTTTGAATTTGAAAAGGCTAGTTTTCATTCTTTGAATTTGAAAAGGTTACTTTACCAAATTATTTCAGTGGGATTCTATCTTTTTCTATACATAATTTAACTACTCTAGGAATATGACTCTAGTCATATTTAGTCAAACTCTTCCATAGGAAGTTTTTGGGCATTCTAAAGAATTAATTATAGGAAAATTAATATTACTTGTGAGTATACTAAGTATATTTGAATTTTATTTATTTCACTATTATCCTACTAGCCCAACCAGTGGTACATAAATTATCTCCTTTTGGGACCCCTGAGGCTATGGGGTAAGAAACTTTCTTAGTTTACTTTTAAGTTCTCTATTATTAGAAAGTACTTACTTCCTATCTGATTGTCTTCATTGAATATAAAAAAATACCAGAATGGATTTGTGGTTGGATCTTAAAAAAAATGAAATCAAGAAAATGCTATACTTGTAATTTTCTAAATAATTTTTATAAAATACAGAATTCTTCATTCCTACTTATTGCTAGGGTTCCATTAACTTCAGATGATGATGATGAAGATGATAAAGAGAAAATGCTGTGTGACAATAATACCAAATCAAAGACATCACCTGCTATTCCTCCTTCATTGTCAACAAGACAATCTTTATCAACTCAGGACAATTTGGAATTGTTATTTCTTAAAGAAAATAATCAGAATGAGTTTGGGTTAGATGACTCAGAACATATTCCTTGTTCTATTGTTGACATATTTCCCAAAGGTGAGATTTTTATTTAATTCATTTTTAATATCAGTACTAGTTACAGTCATCATATTTTCTTCTTGAGTTTAGTGGTGTATAAGCTGTTAATAAATTGATCTCCTATGTTAGAACTTTGCTAATTTGTACCATTTAAAACTCTGGTTAAAAAAAAAAAAAAAACCCTAATAGTAAATATGCTGACCAGTGTCAGACCTACAGCAGTGTAATACTGTTTTTCTGAAAACAATACTGAGGAGTGAACTGGCCTAAATAGCTAATCTTAGTATGTTAGCTCTTCTTGGTATGAATGGTAGGGTACTGTATATTTATTTAGTTTCACCTTCTTTTCACAGATAACAAAAATTGGATGTAAGGTTTTTTAGGTGTAATGATATTTTTCAAGGTCATAACCAATTAATGGTAAAGCACAAACTTGAGTTTGGGTAATGATGGAGCAAGAAAAAAAATGATGGTATCTATATTTTAAATTCATGACATTTCAAAATATTAATTGTCTGGCTCTGGCATATACAGTTGTTACAGATTTTCAGACTGGTATATAGAGACTGTAATGAATTTAAAGCTTAGATTTTTTCATTTCTAAAATTTATGTGATACACACACACACATACACATATACATATACATATACATACCGTTAGCCTTTTGATAGTAATCCATGTTGGAATTACACTTTTATTTGGGTTCGTTTACAGCTCTTCTCTCACTCTAGAAATATATGTTAATGACTCTAGTGCTGGCTAAACTCCATTTTAATTTGGGATCAATGCTAAATGAATCATCAGTGTATGTTCTCCATAGATACAAATGGAAAAGATAAATTTTGAATGTCCTAATAATTCCTGCTTTAGTTTTTGCCAGTGTAGATTCTTTATAAATATGTAAACACAATATGTTATCAGAAATTCATTGTGAAATAACTTGATTTATAATTTAATTTGTTTAAAATAGTAAATTCTTTGCTGTTACTTATTTCTGAATATTATTTCCCTTTATTTCATAGAAAATCATTCTCACTCAGACCAAAGTTCCAAGATTTCTCTAATGAGTGAGATGAAAAATGTCCAGTCTATCAGCCACATAAAGAAGAAACCATCTCTTAGTAATGTGACTGAAAGGAAGAAACGTGTATCATCTTGGGAACCAAATAATCCTTCTGCAGACACTCCCTGTGTAGCAGATTTAGATGAACAACAGATTTATTGTCCAGAATTAAATTGGAATAATGATATGAATAATCATACTAATGAAGTAAATGTTAGAATGCCAAGAAATAAGCAGTGCCTTCCTGAGCCTTCTGAGCCTACAGGTGAATCTACTGCAGAGGGCATGAATCAAGTCCAGGATAATGAAGACTTTCAATTTCAGAAAACTGTGTATGATGCTGACATGGATTTAACTGCTAGTGAAGTAAGCAAAATTATTGCAGTTTCTACAGGAACTAAAAATAAAAGTAATAAAAAACTAAACGATTGTGGAGTGAAAACTTTTAGAAAAGTGAAAGATTCAAGCTCTGAAAAAAAGAAAGAAAGATCAAAGAGAGAAGTGAACAATAGTACAGATGTTAATATTGAGAAAACACTTGAAAATGGACAAGAAAGGTCTGTTGTCCTGGATGACAAAGGGAATAAAGAAGATCTAAATTTTATTTTCCATACTAAACAGCAGACTCAACAACTAAGCATGCTGAAGAAAACAACACTTCATAATGACTTTAGTCAAGATGATAGACAAAATATACTTCATAACAAAAAGAAGAAAATGCATGCAACAAATGAGCAAGAGGCAACATACTCTTTCCCCCAAAGAGCAGATAAATGTCAGCAGGAGAGTAAATCTGATATGGGTCAGAATTCTCTAGCTTGTAAGAAAAGTAAAACTTCTAGACAGACACTTGTGATTCAGACATCAGAGAAAGGTAACTTACTCCCAAATCAAAAGGATGAGGAATCCATTTCTGAAAACCTAAAAGTCATAAATGAATTTCAAACAGCTGGTCTTCCCACCAAAGATATCGGGAATTTATGTGATTATGAAACCCAAAATACATTGGATTTAAAAAAACATGTCACTGATACACAGTCTGTTCAAAAAAATGAATCAAAAATAAATAAGAAGCTTAGGCAGAAGATAAACCGAAAGACAGAAATAATTTCTGAAATCAACCAAATATATGAGGATAATCCTGAAGGTGTACATGGCCCAGGAAAATACAACTTTTCCCTTCAAATCCAAGAGGGTAAAGAAACCATTTCTCCAAACCTAAAGGCTTCAAATGAGTTTCAAAATCATACTCATTCCATCAGCAGTAATGGAAACCTGTGTAATTATGAGACCCAAAATATATTGGATTTGAAAACTCCTATCACTGGTAGGCAATCTGCTCAGCAGAATGAATCAAAAATAAATGAGAAATTTAAGCAAAAAGTAAGTCAGAAGACAGAAATAATTTCTGAAGTGAATCATTTACATAATGTCAAAAATGTGTATTGCCCCCAAAAGAGTAACACTTTAATGCAAAAGAATAGAGAAATCTCTGAAAGCCTGGAAGACCCTAGTGAGTTTCAAGCACCTGTTCATTCTACTAAAGATAGTAGAAATGTGTATCATCTTGACACTCAAGATGTTTGGGGAATGAAAAAGTCTGTCCATGATCTGGATCCTTGTCAAAATAAGTCAAGACTAGATAAAAAAACGAGGAAAAAGGTAAATAGGAAGACAGAAATAATTTCTGAAGCCAACCAAATATTTGAGGATGATGACATGGGCATGCATGACTCAGAAAAAGGCAATTTATGTTCTCTAGCTCAAAAGGATAAAGGAATCCATAAAAACCTAAAAGACTCTAATGAGTTTCAAATTGTTGATCCTTCCTCCACAGACACTAGGAACCTATGTAATAATTGTAATAATGAAACTCAAAACATTTTGGAAGTGAAAAAGCATGTTATTGATATACAACCTGCAAAACAAAATGAACCAAAAATAAATAAAAGGTCCAGGCAGAAAGTAAATCGAAGGACAGAAGTAATTTTGGAGGTGAACCAAACAAGTGAATTTAATAACAAAGGTTTGCATGATGCTGAAAATGTTAACTTCTTTTCCCTAGCCCAGAAGGATAAAGAAAACATTTCTGAAAACCTAGAAATTACAAATGAATTTCACACAACTTATCTTTCTACTAAGGATAATGGAAGTTTATGTGATGTTGAGACTCACAGTACATTGGGTTTGAAAAAACAGGTCACTGATTTGCAATCACCTCAGCAAAATGAATCAAAAAAAAATAGGCAGAAAGTAAAACGGAAGACAAAACTAATTTCTGAAATGAACCAAATATATGAAGATAGTGCTAAAGATGTGCAAAGCCAGGAAAGCCATACAAAATATCTTGATTTTAAGGTAAATAAATCTAAACAAATGCTCGAATGTATTACTAGTGGGTACAAAATGAAAATCAATAGTAGTGAAAAGGAAAATTGTGACCAAATTTCAAATCATTCCAAACTAGATAGAAAACATGGGAAAAAATCACCAGGCAAAGCAAAGAACCTTTTGGCTGATGGTAAAAATAAACCTAGTTTGAAGTTACCGAATTCTTCGCAAACATCTGTCTCAGAGTCAGGCTTAAAACATAATACTAAAGAAGCAGATTTGGATCCTGGAAATCGAATGAAACCACATAAGATTCCAAAGCAAAGCACTACAACTCTGACTATAGAAGATACTCCCTTTGGGGAAGTGACAGAAGCAGGAGAGGGACAAAAAAAAGATAAAGAGAAATCCAAATCAAAGCGAAGGAAGACCTTCATAGAGCCTTCTCCTGATACACAAGAAGTATTGGAGATAATACCTGATGCCAGTCAGGAACTATCATTTGAATCAGAACAAACTGATAAGGAAAAAGCACTGGAAAGTGAGACAATTATCAAAATAAAGCCAGAATTTTACACAAAGGTGTTTAAATCTTTATCTCAGATATATTCACCTAATATACAAGATTCTTCCTTTAACCGTGTTAATGAGGGTTCAATACCTTTGAGTATTTCTTCTAGTAAAGAGATGAAAGAAAACTTTACCCAGAACTCACCAATAAGTGATGATGTACACGAGAAGATGAAAGAAATGGATTTTAAAATCAACCAGAGAACACAAAAATCAGGACTAGGTAGGTATCAATACCTCAAGTGATCAAGTTTTAAAAGTGTTTTTTCACTCAATGAGTATTTTCTATTATAACCTATTATAAAATTTGTAATGGAGGAATTGAAAGAAAGTTTAATATTTTGCGTAAGCAAAAATATCTTGACTATAAGCAAAAAAAAACTAATTTCACTTTTGCCATAGTGTTTTATACATTTGAAGGAAGTTGAGTATTTTGAACAGTACTGAATAGCCCTGGCTTGATTTTTACCAGAGGCATTTGCAGATTTCTAGAGAGTAGGACTTTCTCAAATAGCATATATTTAATGTGATCAAAGCATTCCAGTTATCATAGAAGATTAAAAAGTAAATACCAACTCCCATTCCTCAGAGTGCACACAGGGAAAAAGTACGGAATACAATGGTGAAATGTAGGGGAAGTATATAATATGACATATAATGGGGAATAATTGTGAATAGAGGAACCTGCAAATATAAAATAGAGTAGGAAGCGTTTTAGGTCTTAAAGGATAGATTTTTACTTCAAATGTTTTGGTCCTTCCCAGTTAATGACAGAAAGTTGAAAGTAGGGGATCAGAAAGTAGGAAAAACAATCACCTGGAAGAACTGCAGTCAACATTTTTGCATATTCATACAGACTTGAATATTTGGACTTTATATATTTGAAATCATACTATGTATAACATTACTTGTCATGTTTTCCTTAACATATTCTTCGAATCGTGTTTGTTAGAAATTTTGTGAGTTAATTTTCTACTGGGAGCCTAATGTTTATATATA